CTGCATTGGAGATCGACCGACCGTTGCGCACTGTCCATGATGAGTACAGTCCCGTACATTGGTCCCTGCTGGATCCTTGCAACCATCGATCGGCCCCTGTGGTACAGTACTTCGCACGCCGTGAGTATCAACAACCTCGATGCATCAACAAGCGTGCGTGGGCCGACAGGAGCAAGAATGGATCAATAAACTCGGACAGCCTTCCCATTCTCCCGACCTTAAATTTTCAGGCTGGCTGAGATCTCGATGTTACTTATAGAATTGGGAAGTTCCACAAAGCTCATGCAGTGCAGCTGTCAACCGAGTCGATTCCCAATTCGCCCAGGATGAACTCAACCCTGCTCCCGGAGTTCCTCAGTGACCTGCCAGCATGTGCGGTATGCTTCACTCGAAACCTTCTTCAAAGATCATCAATCCCTAACTGCCCAGGCTCAATGCTTCGAAACTGCAATGAATCCCAGCTCGTGCGCAACGACAGATCGATGGTGCATTTGTACCGGGCAGAGCATCTTGGAAACTGCACTGGGGTGCTACAGTTTGTCTTGCACTCCAAAGCAGAGCCTATGTAAGTAGTCTACCTCTTTCGCAGTCGGAGTCGCCTAACATTCTAGTCTCGACGAACTACACTCGTGCCGCCTGTGGTATCCATGAAGAGAGTAAGGCCAGCTTGACGCCTGCCCTGGCCGGCTCACTGGGCATGCTGGCCTTAATCATGACCGGCCTGCGTATGGCTCAACGAACCATGATGAAGCGATCTTTTGGCTGGGACGACGGGCTGATAGTGATGGCCATGGTATGGACTGGACTGCAAAGATCCAGAGAATGATATAAGCTAACTTCATTCAGGCCTGTGCTGCGATACTGAACATCATGGCTTTCCCCAGTAAGTGCACTCCCCTCCTGAAACAAGCAATCACTAACAAGCCAGTGCAAAAACACGGCCTCGGAACCAACATCTGGACAATCCCATTCGAAGACATTACTACCCAGCTCAAAGTCCGTCGCGCTTCCACTCCTTTGAGTACTCGGCCTCTTCTAACTTGAACCCAGCTACTTCTCATCGCCGAGATCTTTTACATGCCCGCCGAAGCCTTGACCCAGTTATCCTTCCTAGCCTTCTACCTCCGCATCTTCCCTCCCGGCAAATTCCGATACATTGTCTACACCCTCGCTGGCATCTCAGTCTGCTTCGGAATCTCCAACACCTTGATCATGATCTTCCAATGCCTGCCGGTCTCCTACTTCTGGAACAGCTGGTCGGGGGAGGCAACAGGCCACTGCATTGACATCAACACCTATTCGTGGTATCGCGCTGCGATGCAGATCGCGATGGACCTGTCCATCATCGCACTCCCCATCTACCCTCTGTCAAAACTCGCGTTGAGCCGACGAAAGAAGACACTCGTCTTGCTGATGTTCTGCACGGGATTCTTGTAAGTCACCCCCCCCCCCCCCCTCTTCCACAATCGACCCCAAAAACACAAAGCCCCGCTAACAGCCACAAGGATCACCGTCGTCAGCTGCCTCCGCCTCCAATCCCTCATCCGCTTCTCCAAGTCCGCCAATATCAGCAGTAAGCCTCACTTCCCACGGATCACTCTTCAAGTAGGCACCCACTGATCTAAAAAAAATAAAGTGGACAACAACCCCGCCATCTACTGGAGCATGGTAGAATGCGACGTCGCGATTGTGTGCGCCTGCATGCCCTGTCTGCCTGCACTACTGAAGCCCCTCCTCCCCGCGTGCTTCGGGTCGCGGTATTATGCCAGTTCGGATAACGAGCGAACCCCGCCGGTCAAGCTGGAGCGGATCCGCCGCAAGGATGAGTTCAGTGTTCTGTCGACGGCGGTGTCGGAGGACGCCTTGATGGCAAGTCGGGGGTGATTTGCGGTTGGTGTGTGTGTGCGTGTGTGCGGTGGAGGCAATAATGTTTGTTATTTATGATCCGACTTATGATTCGAGGAATGAGAATAGAACGTGTGGCGTGGTGGGCTTTCCAAGCGGCGTCCTTATCATCACCGTTGTTAAAGGCATCGTCTGCTATGTGCTTGAGAAACCAGCCACACCCGTCTTCGCAGTTCACCATCGGCTCAAATATAGCCGCAGATCAAGCTCTTGCCAGGAAATCCCCCCTGAGCTCTCGATCCTCCTCATCTAAGGACCATCCGAGATATTTCAGTATGTCTTCAACCTGCTCGCTAAGTCGCATGCGCGCGCCCGCAGTGGTCGCTTAGTACCCACCGGTACCCACCAGTTCGGAGACGCTAAGTAGCTTGCTGCCAACGCTATGTTTCGCAATAGTCCTCAAATCGCGGACAAGCGCTTGGGAGAGCATTCAACTTTGGCAGGCGATCATTGTGGCGTGATAATAACATTATTCCTCTTCATCGGGGAAGCTCGTTGCAGACGAGATCTTGTCGTTGTGGTGCCAGTTGCCCTTGCTTAGTCTGGCTGTCATGGTTTCTCTATGGAGGTCTGGTCGAGGATTATCAATTCATCTGGGAGGGAGGAAGACTTCACATAGGATAGTCATCGTTTGGCAAATGTGAGAGACTGCGTATTTTGTCATGACTGGAGCAGGGTATTGTCGGCGGTGCAGTGGGTTTCATACCAGGGTATCACGCGTCAGAAGCTTGACATCATGCCTTTCAAAAATCATGGCACATCTTGATGTTGTCGAAGTCAGCACACCCCGAGGAGCTTGCCACGTTCGTCCTCTAGGGAATAGTTTAGTGCACCCAGATATCTGGAACCATTGTACTTCGCCTAGCGAACTCCCCCCTAGAGCTTTGTCGTGACGGGTACCGTCCAGAAATTGCTAGTCAAGGTGCAATGAATCCAGCTTATTCGCTCTCAATCGATGGAATCTCTCGGGGTCTTCGCGGCTGCAAGGTCGGAGCGCACCCTAGAAGAGAAACGCGCAGCCCAGCGACAGTCTACTTGAATTCCGAGGTGAGGGTCGAAGCACCCACGGAGAGGCTCCACGCCCCCCTGTAGAGATTTGCCATATCAAAGGCCGTAGACCTGCTTCTGACATACCGTTAGAATGGCCTGTATTATGTCAGACGTAAACGCCGCTCTTCAAGCAGGCGCGAGAGCTGCCATAGGCCCGGGATTGTATACACATCGTAGCCCCCTGTGGGTAGATGTTGACGCGGAACGTTGTAGTCTCTGATTGCAAGAGTCATGACTGGGATTTTTCTCAACAATTGTCGGTTGGCTTGGAGTTGGGGTTTCGCGATGGTGTGAGGGCCTCGTCCCTCAGGCCGTCACAGATGATCACCGGCTGACGGCGACAATCCCTTATCTTTAAATCCGATGCAAAAACAACTTCCTTATCACGAAAGAAACGGTGTGCGGGGTAAAACAACGCTAAGGGGATAATGGGTTAGACGCGGGATAGCAGCCCCTTTACAACTTCGCAAGGCTGCCACTGTGCTCACTGCCAAGTTGTCCACTCTCGCTGGCTAGACCTTCATAGCCTCAACAGGATTTAGTGAATACGTGGAGGGATGTTTGTGCCTGAGGCCGAGGCACACTCAACAACCATAACTCCACTACATGCCATTCTGAGTGTGGGCCTTTGGTTAATTGTGTCTCATACCTGCAAGAAAAGTGCTAGTGTAACCACAGTTCTATCCAGCAGCGTTAGGTGTTCAGACGCTATTCTAAGGGCACATGTAAGGTTATATATGCAGATCTAAAGCCTTCTTTCATCAATTGGGGCTGTGGTTTAGTGGTATAATATTCCCTTAGCATGGGAGAGGTCCGGGGTTCGATTCCCCGCAGCTCCATGTTTTTGTCTTTTTGCAGCTTTTGCTACATTTGCAAAGTGCAATATTGTTTCCATCTTACTGGATCGAGTGGTTGGTGGCAGGGTACAGTACCAAGCGGTCGCTCAGTATGAAGCTTTCTGGTGAGATCTTTTCGGAGGACAGAATCGCGGCTCGGATATTTTGCAATAACACACATGCATGTATGTGCTCAGGTTGTTCAAGGATGCACATATTTCTTCGCACTTGCTTGTTGATGAGAACCAGGTAAGCATCATGACAGGCGCGTTTTACCACAATCCTCAGTATATATATCTCGCTGCAGTTGGAGAAGGCCCCTGGGCTCCTTGACCATACTCTGGCAATATTTACAAGGGTTGCTTTAGATTCTGGGGTTACGCAGGTTGCGCGGCGATATATATCTGTGGTATTTGTATGTTATTATTTTTTTTTTTGCATTGAGATTGACGAGGCTACAGTCGCATTGCCCAATGAGTCGGTACATAATTCCCTACATAATAGGAACCACCAGAAAAAAAAACATTGAACGCCGATACTGTACGTCACTTCGAGTCTGATGTCAGGTACAGGCGCTCTCCGGTGCTCTCTACCCCTGGCGATGAAAGGGGGCCAGATGCCGATCGCTTTGTCATCCCTCCTGTGGCAAGATTCATCATTGCCACCGAAAAGAAAATTCTTTCCAGGGTTGTTCTCGAATAAACTTTATCAGGAACCGGATCGTGGTCCATCGGACAGAGCGACGATCAAGCGGAAGTAAAAAAAAAAAGCATATGCAGTGACCTACTTCGTAGACAGCAAAATATTGTAAAGAGATCTTTGAATGAAGAGGGCAAAAAGGGCACAGGACAAAAAACATGACTGGTCAGGGACTCGAACCCAGGACCTTATCCGTGTGAAGGATACGTGATAACCAACTACACCAACCGGCCATTTCTTGGAAGAATGCTAGGGTGGTGTGATTGTTGACAGCTGGCCGGATTAGTGAAAGTGCACCACATCGAAATAGGCTCAAGCAAGCTGGATTAGAGTGTCGATCATCCAGTCAATCAGGCACAAATTTGAACCGGCCACGGTGGGAATCCCAACCAAGCACACTTTACAACTCAATTCTTGCCACCACAACCACAACCACAACCACAACCACAACCACTAGCCACCAGACCACAAATCAGGTCGAGAACACAATCTTGAATGGCCAGACCTCCTTCACATTGAAAGCTCTACGTTTAATGTAATCATCCAACCATGGGCGTCATCCGCGCCATGTCGTCATCCACCCCAATCCAGAACCCAAGCTTGGCTGGGTTGGCATCGGAAAAACCCGGACTGCCTACAAGAGTCTACGGAATTATGATGACTGCGCCCTCGTGACCAAGTTGTGTAAGGAGCTCAGCATAAAATCGTGAGGCAATGCAGTCGGCGAAGTGTGCGGGGTCCGCTTTTTTCCTGAATCCCTACGTGTCAGGGTCGAGAGTTCTGACAACAAGTGTCCAAGCGGAAACGCAAGCAGCGAATCATCGAGCTGGCATGTCCAGGCCAGCGCCGCCAGCCCGACAGGAGATCTCTCGGACCGGTCAGATGGCGTTGTGTTCGGCGTCAGTGGCTGTCCTGGCTGTCCTGGCCCGAGGGCAAGCAGGTCAGCCGAGTTTCTTGGGCTGGAATGGTGGATCCCCAGTGCATCATGGGGGTTTCAGTTGCACGGGCTTCGAGTTCACTGCTTCACATTCTTATCGATAACGTGGAAGAAGTCGAGAAGAAGATTATCAGTAGAGGTTGGGTTTTGCGGGCGGGTTTGACAGTCTTTAACTTGGTTTTGGGGACTGAAGAGATGATATTCAGATCAGAAACAACGATACTTTTTGCTCATCGTGTGAGGAGACAAGGCGACTAAATCACCATCCCTGCAACGGACCAACCGACAACCTTCCGAGTTCAGCAACGGTGAGGATTTCGCCGAAGTGCAACCGAAACTCTGTATGGCCCATGGCTTGTTTTTGCCCCCAAAGGACGTGGGGGACCGAGTCGGCCCGATGGAGAAAGAGCCAGTTGGAGGCAAGTCGGGATGCCGAGGTGAAGTCATCCTCGGTCGACTTCCGAACTACCTACGACTTTCTGACTGCCTTTCCAACACCACAAGGAGGCAGGAAAGAGTATAGAGAATGCTGTTGTGAGTGACAGGAGGTAACTGAGCAAGTGCTCTTATTCTTCATCATCATGAAAAGACTCTCATTGACTGTGAGCGCCCCTCATCGCCTATCACCCATCCCAACTGCGAATATCTGCACATCGGACCAGTTTCCCCGAAGTTTCTCAGTTGGATCGACCGCAAACTCTGGTGACCCACTACTTACCAACGCCATCCCGGATTCATCTCGTGGAGCATTCCTGGCCAGGTACTGTACTCCGTAGCCTGCATTACAATGAGGCGGCGGATGCCTTTCCCATGCCCACTCCAGAGTCTCCCAGTCCACCCCGACTTTATGACGCACCCCGGAAGAAGATGGACTGAAGCCCTGACTCGGGTGGGCCGACACGAAAAAAATAAAACTGGAGAAGCCGGATGAGACGGGTTCCTTTCCCCAGTGTTTTGATTGTCCTTTTATACCTCCTCCTTCCCTGCTGCCTCCTGGCTGTTTCTTCCACTCGACCTCACCTCTCTTCTTCTTACTCCTCCTCCTCCTCTCCTCCTCTTCATCCATCCATCCTATCTCACAATGGACAAGATGGACAAGTCCCAGCCTGGCCTGGCCTCCCATACGGAGAACGCCTCCGCCGGCTCCTCCAGCCACATCGACTCCACCTGCAAAGGACGCATTGCCGGTGGAAAGTACCTAGAGGGCCTCGATGACAGCTCTGCCGCTGCTCATGCGGACGGCCCCCTCCAGACCGTCGACTTCGACATACCATTAACCCAGACTGAACGCATCGTCCAGGACGGCAACCAGTACATCGTCCTCGACTTCGTTCCCGGTGACAAGGAGAATCCGTTCAACTGGGATGGCAAATACAAGGCTTTCATCTCCGCCCTGCTCTGTCTGATGACTTTGTTCATCGGTCTCGCCACGACGGCTTACAGCTCCGGATTGGGTGATATGGCTTCGGATCTGGGTGTGACCGAGGAGATCGCCGAACTGGGTCTCTTCCTCTTCAACTTCGTCTGCGCCCTCGCTCCCCTCTTCCTGGCCCCCTTCTGTGAGTTGGCGGGTCGCCGTGTCGTCTATGTCGGAGCCTACTTCTGCTTCGTCCTCATGTTTATCGGTCTCGCCCTGGGTAAGAACATCGGCACCATCCTCGTCTGCCGTGCCCTACTCGGTCTGTTTGGTTGCGTCGGTACCATCCTGGTCGGTGGTACCTTCGGTGATATGTACTACCCTCAGGACCGTGCTATCCCCGTCGCCACATTCTCCTGGATCGCCATCTTCGGTACCGTGGCCGCCCCGATCTACGCCGGCTTCATCGACCAAGCCCTCCACTGGCGCTGGGTGGAAGGTATCCAGGGTCTGGCCAACATCCCGCTCGCCCTGGTCATCCTGTTCTTCCTCCCCGAGACCCGTGGTAGCGTTGCCCTCGGCAAGCGGGCCAAGCTGCTCCGCAAGAACACCGGCGACGACCGCTACGTGACCGAGAACGACCTCGAGGCCCCCTCGCTGAAGCACATGCTGCACAACTCCTCGGTCAAGGCGATCAAGATGCTCATCACCGAGCCCGTGGTTTTCGCCTTCGGTCTCTGGATCGCCTTCGCCTGGTTCCTGACCTTCCTGTTCTTGTCGGTCATCCCCATCACCTTCCAGGAGAAGAAGGGCTGGAACGAGGGCATGTCCGGGCTGCCCTACATCGGCCTCTGCATTGGCTGCACCATCGGCTTCGGTCTCAACTTCTTCCAGATCCGCAAGTACAACGCCCTCTTCCAGGCCGGCCAGGCTCGCCCGGAGTCCCGTCTTTACGGCGCCCTCTTCGGTGCCGTCTGGCTCCCCATCGGCCTCTTCATCTACTCCTTCACCCAATACGCCGACCTGCCCTGGATCGCCCCCGTCATCGCCCTCGTGCTGATCTGCATCGGTATCTTCTTCATCTTCGAGAGCTGCTACAGCTACACCTCCGACTGCTACGGCGAGAGCTCCTCCTCCGCCATCGCCGGCCAGGGTTTCATGCGGAACACGCTGGGTGCCGTCTCGCCCCTGTTCGCCTCGCAGTTCTTCCACAATGTGGGCAGCCAGTATGCCGGATTGATTCTGGCCCTGATCGCCACCGCCCTGACCCTCATCCCCTACGTGCTGTTCATGTACGGCCCCAAGCTGCGGGCCAAGTCCAAGATAGCCAGTCTGGTCAGCCACGCTGGGGAGGACAACGAGAAGGTCTAATGATGATGTGAAACGATAAAAAAAAAAGAAAAACAAAGTGGATCCTGCCGGACAGGCCAGGTCAAAGTTAAATCTGTCATGTTAGCATTGCATTTGCATATTCGAAAGTACGGTACATAAGTGTCATGTCGGGGGTTATTTAGCATTGCAGCCCCAAATGTTCTGCACATACATATTACAATCATGATGAAATCAAAATACCAAAACACCAATTCTCGATCCATTTCTTTCTCCAGTAAATCATAACAGCTATGTAGGAAAAGTTTCCAATCTCAAAAGTAAGAGGGGGGTATCACGTATGTCCGTCCTGTTTTTGAGGATCTCTCGCCTTTATTTACTCTGCATGACCAGCACATCGCCGACGATGCGGTTCTCCTTCTTCACCAAGGCCTGGCCCAGGACACCCAGCACGCGCGCGGCCTCGGCGCCGACTTCCTCGTGAGCAGCGCCACCATTGGCAAGTAGCTCATCCAGAGCCGAATGCCGTCGGCCCACAACGACGAGATTGCCAGCCTTGTGATGCGAGCGGACCATCTCGTCCTTGACCAGCTCGACCATCGTCGCGACGGCCTCTGCCTCCGTCTTGACCGCGGTCTTCTTGAACACCACGCGATCCAGCACCTCCTCGTCCAAGGAATCCTTCATCACCGACAAGAACGTGGCATCCGACTCGACCAACTCCTCCGGCACGACCCCACTCCCACTGGCACTAACACCAACACTGCTGGCCCCCGGAATATCCAAATGCACGACCGACACGGTCACCAAATCACAGCTGGCGACCTGACACACGAACCTGACCGCGAGACGATCATCCCTGCCCCCGACAAATGGCACGACGATATGATGCGCCTTGGCGGCCCCACCGCCGCCGCGTCGGGCATTCCACACCGACGAGCTGCGCTGCACACTCATCGCCCCCAACGACGGGCGATGCCTCACCCCACTGGCTCCGCCCCCACTGCCCCCAGCAGCGCCCAGCGCATGCTGGGGCGCATACAGATTACGCTCCACCAAGACACCCACATTGGCACTGGCGGTCTGGGACCCGTCCAAGACACTGCCGACGAAGGCGGCGTAGGGCTGGCCGTCCAGGAAGCGGACGCCTTCCTCGACGGGGGAGTGCAGGTGGTACTGCTCGCCCATGGCGCCGGTCTCGCTCCAGGGCAGCAGGACGAGATCGGCGGCCTCCTCGCGCGCCATGCCGACGACCGTGTCGGCGAACGAGTGCTCCGGCACGACGGAGACGCCCGCCACGATCGACAGGTCGTGCCACTGCCCGAACGCCCGGAAGGTGTTGACCACCGGGTCCGAGAGCGTGTACTGCTCGATCTCCGAGACCTTCATCACGCTCGAGTCGCGGTCCGTCAGCTCCAGCAGGCGCACGCCGTGCACCTGCAGGCTCTGCGGGGTCGGGTTGTCGAGCTCGGTGATCTCCGTCTCCGCGGGGGCGGATTCGTCCGCGTGCTTGGTGTCGGGATCGGTGGGCGTGCGTTTGTCCGGGTGGATGCGCGGGTGGTTGTTGTTGTTGGTGTGGTTGTGGGTGTGGGTGTTCGGGGCGAGGAGACCGGCGAGTGTGCATAGGCCTGAGAGGCCGTCGAGACGCAGGTACACCAGCAAATTGCGGACGGGCCGGTGGTGCCCCAGCGTTTCGTGGTGGTCGCCGTGCTGCGCCGACTTGGCCGCCGTGATGCTGTCCATGCGGCTGTCCGGCGGCAACGGTTTGCCCGTCGCCCAGTCGATCTCGCCGCGCCGCCACCGGTCCACCTTGATCTGGTACCATTTCGGGTACAGGGCAACGGTTAAGGGGGTGGTCGCGAAGGTGGTGACGAGGGCCATGACGACAAACATCGTGAAGGTGCGCGTGCTGAGGATCTTGGCTTGGAGGCCGATGTTCTATTCATGTCAGTTTCTTGTTCATAAGGAGTACTCGGGAGATGGAGAAATAAGAATGAAGGGCAGGGGACCTACCAAAACAATCAACTCCACCAACCCCTTGCAACTCATCAGCACGCCGATCGAGAAACTCTCCCGCCAGAGCAGTCCGTTCAACCGGGACGCCAGCGCCCCGCCGGTGACCTTGGCGATGAAGGCGATCGCGATGATGGCGATCACGTACCCCCAGACGGTGCCGTTGTCCAACAGTCCCAAATTGGTCTGCAGCCCGCTGAGCGTGAAGTACAGCGGCAGGAACAGCGCCGCGACCAGATCCTCGATCTTCTCGGTCAGCTTGATGGCGAACCCGCCCTCGTGCGGACACAGCAGGCCGATCAGGAACCCGCCGAAGATGGCGTGGACGCCGATCACCTGGGTGAAGAAGGCGGAGGCCAGGGCGATCAGCAGGGTGATGGCCACGACGGACTGACTGGGCCCCTTCTGCAGACTGCCGGTGTGGGCGAGGAAGCGCAGGAACAGGGGCCGGAAGATGAAGACCAGGAACAGCACGTAGCCGACGCAGACCAGCAGCACCCAGAGCGCGGTGAGTCCGGAGCCCGCGTTCACCAACGCCACGCACAGCGCCAGCAGGATCCAGCCCACGACGTCGTTGCCCACCCCCGCCGAGAGCACGATCACGCCCACGTTGGTGCCGAGCAGCTTCAGCTCGGTGAGGATGCGGCACAGCACGGGGAAGGCGGTGATGGCCATCGCGATGCCGATGAACAGCAAGTACGTGCCGAAGTTGATGTCCACCGTGTCGGGTTCGTCGCGGAAGGCGTTATACAGCCCGTAGGCGACGGCGCAGCCCAGCCCGAAGGGGAGGACCATCCCCGCGGCCGAGACGCTGATCGCCACGCGCCAGTTGCTGATCAGGAAGCGAAGGTTGGTCTCCAGGCCGACGAGAAACAGGAACAGAATCAGACCGAGGTTGGCGACCAGGTTCAGCCCCGGGATCGAGGCCTTGGGAAAGATGGCGTCGGTGAAGCCGGGGATGCGTCCCATCACCGACGGGCCCAGCACCACGCCCGCGATCACCTCGGCGATGACGCGCGGCTGCCGGATCTTCGACAGCGGCCAGTGCAGCAACCGGCACAGCACGATGATGATGCTCGCTTGGATGATGAACAGGATGATCGGGTTCGACGAGTCGTACACCGTCGGATTGCTGCCCTCCAGGATTCCCGCCTGGGATTTGACCTGGGGGGTGGTGGTGGAGTTGCTCGACATGGTGGCCGGGGCAGAGAGAGGTCACGGCCTCTGGTGGGGGTGAGTGGTGAGCAATTTGACACGGGAGTTTGAGGGGTGCGGACAAAGAAAAAAAAGGGTAGAGGAAATCTATGATTCGGATTAGAAGGGAGGATAGGAGAGTGGAAGAAGAGAAAAAGGGATTTAAATGGGTGTGGGAAAGACAGAGAGAGAGGGAGAGAGATAACAAGTGAAAACGAGGTTGTGGGGGGGGGGGGAACGAGAGCCCACGTGGGTGATGGGAAGCGATCGGAAATGCAGCAGCAGATGCAGCAGTGGCAGCAGTGGCAGCAACAGGCAGCTGCCTGGTGGTGAATGGTGAATGGTGATAACGTGATATTTCACTTGTCCTCTTTTAGTCTTTGTTCTTTGTTGGCGCATCGGAAATCTACAGCAATCTGGGCCCCAATGCGGTTCCGGGGTTCGCCTCCACCCCAGACATTCTCTCCAGCCACTCCCCCACCAGACCACAAACCAAAACCAAATCTCTTGTTCGGTCATCCGTCAACTGATCTCCCCCCGTTCTCGTATTCACACTTACTTTATCTCTCCCTTCAACGCTGGTTGGGGGCCACCAGGATCCACAGTAGCTGTGATCTGAGCTGTGATCTTGCAGCCAAGGGCTAGAGCTGTCACCTGACGCAAGGAGAAAGATCAGCTGGAATGGAGTCCGCACTCGGCATCGAGAACGCCATGCAAACATCTACACCATACGACGGGTTTGAGCGTAATCTTAAATTCCTGCGAGTAGCGAGTAGCGAGCAGCTAACCCCGGACACTGCTGTCAGTCTCACAAGCTGACATCCCCGATCGGACCCAGAGTTCAGCCCGACCCCGAGTGGTCGGCACTCAGCCTCAGACAGTAACCCTGGGTCTTATTGACGCACATCTTGGACAATCAATAACTTGGAGAAGCATAACATGGCTGAGACGCGGCTTGTATATTGACCCTGTGGCGGTCTGTGTAGTGTTACATCTGAGAGACTCGGGGTTGACCCTACGATCGGCACGGCGAGTAGTTGCAGCCCACAAATTTAAAATATTAGACATATACGGTAATATTGTAGCAACTCCCACAACAACAGGTGCTGTGGTCTAGTGGTATGACGTCACGTTGTGGCCGTGCCAGCCCCGGTTCGATTCCGGGCAGCGCCACTTTCTTTTTTCGCTTGTCTTTTTGCTCTCCCCTCTTTCGATCGCACCAAACTGTCAGTCTCTCTTTCCTTTTTCTCTCCCTTTTTCTTTTTTTCATTCTTTCTGGGTACCAGAATTGGTAAAAAGCTATTCATTGCTGTCTCGCCCTCTAGCATCCGATACTTTGGGACGAGAAGATAAACAGATTCGTCCGTGAGCGGACGGTTTTGCTCATTCCCAGAGCGAATATATTTTGCGCGCGAGCGGCCCTACAATTCTACATTTCAATCAACTTTTGATGGCAAAAAAACTTTCACCCTATCCACGATGCAAGATACTCTAGAAAGCAAAACACAACCGCAAATGCTCTGATCTTCACGGTATATAACGAGACTCTCAATGTCTAATAACAGCTTGCGAGCACGTAACAGAATCGCGGGTTGAGTGGCAGACGCGACCGGTCACATTGCCAGCGAGACAGACCAGTAAAGTCGGAACGAGGAAGCTCAGCGACAGTCCCGAGTACGTAACGTATCATAAGGAACGTAATGGAAAGGCAAGACCGACGAACATCCTCGTAAGGGCGACCATGCGACATGACATGCACGATAGCCCACGCAGCGAAGAAATAATTTCTCGCCTACGAGAAATAAGCCCATCGAAAGCAAAAATCTTCAATTTCTCGATTTTTCCATATAGTTCACAGACCAATGATTTTAGCTTGCTCAAAAACACATGCCAATCTCGCTATGGTACAAAAGAAAAGTGAGCAGCTCGTGATTTCGTTCAGATACATTCCCAACCATCCCATCATCTCGGTCATGCAAGTCATCATCTTGGATGCGCATCTACTTCCTTACGTAGATAGCCATCTTCCCGAACGCCTCATGGTCCGGGAAGTCGAACATCTCATAAGAGTCCCCGATCGCCTTGAGCACGCGATTAGTGACAGGGTCGTAGATCCTAGTCCTGTTAGCACCACACCCCTCGCGCACCGGCAACCAGTCCTCAGAAACAAACTCACGAGTTGATACGTGTGATATCGTCAATGATCATAATAGCAGGACGTGCGATATCCAGCACGATCTCCTTGACCGGCACGTCCGAGTTGCAGGTGAAGACGATCGAGGAATCCTCCACATCCAGGATAGCCTGCGGGTCCTCGACGACGGTCATCTTCAGCAGGTTCAGCAGGCGCTTCTCCTGGGCGTCGTAGATCGGGTCCTGCAGCGAGCAGGCCAAGGGTTCGTCCGACTCGCCCTTGCCGTCCCGGCGGAAGAGTCGGATGATCATCCAGACGAGCGCGTGCTGCGTCGCCGACGGGCTCGCCCCAAACATCGGCCCGCACGCGAAGCCCACGAAGTTGGTGATCGTGTGCTTCTCGCGCGCCGCCACCAGCACCTCGCGGATGGCCGCCCAGGTGGCACTGGGCTCCCACGCGAAGACCGCGCTGCGCAGGAGTCGACTGGGCCCCTCGACGGGCCGCGGGGGCAGCACGAAGATCTCGTCGGTCTCCGAGTGGACCCACTGCTGGACGTGCATGGGGACGATCCGGCAGTACGAGGCGGCGTCCAGGTACTTTTTCTCGGCGGCGTGCCCGACGAAGACGCCCCAGGAGTGATACACGAGGCCAACGGGGCCGCTGTGGGGATGATGTGGTTAGTTGCGTTCCGCCTGGGTGTTTCGACTCGACAAAAACAGCAATAGAAAGAAAGAAAGAAAGGATCATGCTTACTTGACGAATTGATGTCCCACATGTTCATTGACCTGCCCAGTGGCTGGCTCGAATTCCACCGGGGTGCCGTCGATCCCAATGGCCACGTACTTCTCGCCTTCCTCGAGGGGCCGTAGAAGTTGGGCCTGCAGCTCCTGCAAGGTTTCCTTCGTGAAGAACGGCTCGCCATCGGCCTCGTGCCGCAAGATGTTCATGGTGACCTCGTGCGGGCTCGAGGAAGCAGGATTGTACAAGGGGGGTCCGGTCCAATGTGACTTCATCGAATCATGGACCACAGCCCTGGGGAGACGGGTTGCGGTGGGTAGAAGATGGACGGGGCCCAGGGCATTTGCTTCCAGAACTCGACGCATCATCTTGAAGGTTTCCTTCTGTTTCGATGATTTTCGTGGTGTATGGGCGATGAAATGATGGAGTTGTGGGCGGAGGTTCGAGATGGTCGATGAGATGGATGGGTTGTGGGTGTGGGGTACCGAGATGATAGAGATGAAGTGAGAAGAAATGGTGAAAAGCTTTATAGAAGCGAGGAAGATGAAGAAAATTATCCATTGCAAGCTACTCTGTTGTATATTCACCGTTGTTAACATGATACTATCTAGATATTGAATGCCTGAGGCAGGACTTCAAGAACACTAGGGTGTAAAGGGTCTAGCGTGCTAACAGGGTCATTTCGGCGTTGGATTGTTCCGGCTCCGCCTGTTTGTTCACAGGCAGCCAGGAACACAGCCTGTGAATGTGTGATGTGTAGCATGCTCGCACAGTGAACCTTCTGTCATACAAGAGCGTACAACAAGAAGGAACCGGGGAGAATGATACTATGACCACTCTAAGGCAGTAGTGGGCAAGAACTTTCCCTCGAAAGCGGGGACGAAGGCCCATCTCATCTCAGGAGCAAATCTTCGCATCCCCAGTCGATGCTCCTGGGCCATCGAGTTGGCTAGCCTGGCATTTCCCCCTGCATACCTATCGGAAAATAGGGCGTTGTGGAAATGCCGCTTGGGAGCAACTGTTGACAGGCAGGTGACGTCGTAATGACCATGACGTGCCGTCCCAGCCCTGTAGGGCTGAGCCGTCCGCCAATAACCCGCATCAATTCCCCCCCCCCACCCAAGCACAAGCAAAACCCAAGCTTTGACCCAACAGCCCTTCTGTTCAACATGAGAGGCCCCTTTTCCCAAATCCGTCCCCACTCGATGACCGGTTTCTGACCCCCCCTGGTTCTCTTCCACGTTGTCGGAAAGCCCGGAAGCAGAGCACGAATAACCCCTCACCAACCTATAAAGAGGGCGACCCTCTCCTCAGCGACAGACCCGATCTTCCCCAGACAATCGCCTCTCGCCCACACTTACAACATGCAATTGCTATCGAGGTCCCCCCAGTCCCTGCTGGCGTTAGTGGCCGTGACCGGCTTGATTGGACACAGCCATGCTGGCCCAGTACCCAACGACGTTTATCAGCAGTTGATGCAGATTCCGGCCTCCTCGCCCTCGACTTTCTTCAACAGCAAAGAGCCCTTCACCCCCGACCACCGTGATCCCTGGGACCATAAGGTAGATGCTATCGGAGAAGATCGAGAGCCCCTTCCCTGGCGGATGGGCGATGGCGCCTCGGTGATGGGACCGCGGAACAAGGACCGCGAGCGCCAGAACCCCGACCTTGTTCGACCCCCAAGCACCGACCATGGCTCGCTGCCCAACATGCGATGGTCATTTTCTGACTCCCACGTGCGAATTGAGGTGCGTGGTTACCAGAAACAAATCACTACCAGAATGTTCAGATAAATGCTGACTCTGGGTAGGAAGGCGGCTGGACGCGCCAAACCACCGTCCGCGAGCTCGGAACCAGCAAGGAGCTCGCCGGCGTGAACATGCGCCTCGACAGCGGAGTCTACAGAGAGCTACACTGGCATCGAGAGGCCGAATGGGCGTACGTCCTCGCGGGCCAGGTGCGCGTGACAGGGATTGACCTCGACGGGAACGCGTTCATCGACGATCTGGAAAAAGGGGATCTGTGGTACTTCCCCTCCGGCCACCCGCACAGTCTGCAGGGCCTCGGGGAGAACGGCACCGAGTTTCTCTTGATCTTCGACGATGGCAATTTCAGTGAGGAGTCGACGTTCCTGCTGACGGACTGGATGGGTGCGTTGACTTTCCACCCCCTTTCCCCATCCCACCTGCGCCCGTTATCCAGACTAATGCAAAGAACCCGATAGCACACACCCCCAAAGCAGTCCTAGCCGAGAACTTCCGCCTCCGCCCGCAACTGTTCAAGAACCTCCCCACGAGCGAGAAATACATCTTCCCGGGCTCGCACCCGGCCTCGATCCCCAAAGAGACCCCGCCCAACTTCAAACCCTCCAAGGAGCGGTTCACCCACAAGATGCTGGCCCAGAAGCCCGAGCGCACCTCGGGCGGCGAGGTGCGCATCACCGACTCGTCCAACTTCCCGATCTCCAAGACGGTGGCCGCGGCGCACCTGACGATCCAGCCGGGGGCCCTCCGCGAGATGCACTGGCACCCCAACGCGGACGAGTGGTCGTACTTCATCCGCGGGCGGGCGCGGGTGACCATCTTCGCCGCGGAGGGCAACGCGCGCACCTTCGACTACGTGGCGGGCGACGTGGGGATCGTGCCCAAGAACATGGGCCACTTCATCGAGAACCTGTCGGACGACGAGGAGGTCGAGGTGCTCGAGATCTTCCGCGCGGATCGGTTCCGCGACTTCTCGCTGTTCCAGTGGATGGGCGAGACGCCGCGGCGGAACGTGGCGGAGCATCTGTTCGCGGAGGATCCCGAGGCGGCCAGGGAGTTTCTGAAGAGTGTGGAGAGCGCGGAGAAGGATCCCATTCGGGATACCAGGGCCTAGAAGAGGGAGGAAGTCATATCATATTTTCTTTTCGAAAGTGACGATAAAGTTGAGCTTATTGTGTGGTGTACTATGAACGTTATGGCTTGTAATCCTTCGGAAGAAATGCAAACACACAAGGCTTAACGGTCAGTAGACCGATATCGGCCGACGTCATCGATCCGAGAAGCGATAAGCTCGTGGCTGAACGATAGGGCATGCATACATCTCGTCTTTGCCTAAATACTGAGATTTTGCTCAGCCCTCTCACATGCGACGGACTCAAACTTCATGACTGGAGTCCAAGCAGGTAAACGAGAATATTTCCCAATCGGACCAAGCCCAAGTGGAGAGAAAGTGTGGCGATGAAATCATTCAGCCCACATTTTGGTGGGGGGAAAAGGCGCGCTAAGCCGGTTGTAGGGCGGATTACGAAGGCTTAGCTTGAGCTGCCCCTCCAATTCAACCTAATTACAGATTAATGTTGGTGCCTTCGACGTCAGCCTCTCGACAGCCCACCTACATATACTTGACTTCTTCCACTGCACTTCCCACTATCTCTTGATCTTCCTCACCGACAAACAAAAGCCTCTTACACATCCTCACAATGTCTCAACCACAACAAAATACCGCCAGCTCGTCCAGCAAAATATGGGACAAAACCAAAGTCTTCGGCAAGAAGACCTTCGACAAGGGCTGGGACGCCCTGGACAAGCTCGGTGGGCCTGTCAACCGTCTCTCCAACAAGCTGGGCGCGGAGGCCTTCTGGCCCATGTCCATCGACAAGGAATGCGACAAGGCCGCCCGTATCTTGCGCAGCTTCTGCAAGGAGGGGGTCTACATCGACGAGAAGGCTGAGAGCGCTCCGCCCGTCAGCGGGCCTGAGGCTTCCAACGACAAGGAGAAGGAGAAGATCGACAAGCCGCGGGGCAAGCAGAAGGTATTGAAGAAGGTCCCCGCAGAGGTCATTCGGGAGGCGAAGGGATTGGCTGTCTTCACTGCGATGCGGTGGGGCTGGGGCTTCAGCGGTGCGGGGGGCAGTGGCATTCTCATCGCCCGCGATCCTCAGACGGGTCAGTGGACCGAGCCCTCGGGGATTCTCTTGCACACTGCTGGTGTGGGCTTCCTGGCCGGCGCGGATATCTACGACTGCGTCATGGTGATCAACACCTACGAGGCGCTGGAGGCCTTCACCAAGCTGCGCGTCACGCTGGGCAGTGAGGTCAGCGTGGCTGCGGGTCCGATTGGCATGGGCGGCGTCGTCGAGAGCGAGGTGCACAAGCGACGCGCGCCGATCTGGACCTACATGAAGTCCAAGGGACTGTACGGGGGCATCCAGATCGACGGATCAATCATTGTGGAACGGTCGGATGAGAATGAGAAATTCTACGGTCGCAGAGTGCCGGTGAAGGACATCCTGGCCGGTCAGGTCCGGTCGAACAACCCCTCCGTGAAGGGGCTGGTGCACACAATTCAGTCCGCGGCCGGTCAGGCCAACTTCGACCAGGCCCCGGCTGGGGTGCAGATTCCGACCGGCCCCAGCCCCAGCGATATCCCGCCGGAGCAACTGGCTCAGAGCGACATGTTCCACGCCCAGGCGCCGGGCGCGCCCCCGCCCGAGGCCGTGCAGCACAACCCGGAGCAGTATCAAGTCCCGCCCAACAGCAACCTCCCTTACAACCAGCCACCACCCAATCAGGGTCAATACCACCCGGAGCAGTATAACCAGGGGCCGCCGAACCCCCACACGGGCTACAACCAGGGCCCGCCCTCGGGTGCGCAATACCCGTCTGAGCAGTACAACCAAGGACCGCCCAACACCCATGCGTCCTACAGTCAAGCACCGCCTGCGAATGCGGAGTATTATTCGGGGCAGCACAATCAAGTACCGCAGAACAAGTACTAAGACAGAAGGGGGATCTGAGAATGTCAACAAGCAGTTTCCATGGTCTTTCTGACCGATTTTACGTCACTTTATGTACATAGTATTGACAGCACGCGGCCATGATAGCGTCTATTCTTTTTTTAAATGTTCCCTTTGATTCAAGGGCAGGAATTGAATATGAGATTGTGACAGTCCTTGATTGTTCTCTTAAATACTAGCTTTGCGATGTAGATAGGTGCCATAGTTTGATCTGTGTCTTGAGGACCTTTTGTTCCAGAATGCGACCATATAGGCTTCTGGGCCTCTCCAAGATATGCAAATAATAACATTCACTTTATCTAGCACACCCATTCCAGGCTAAAGTTCTTCTGGATCCCAGCTTATCTTGCGCGCAGCTATTCTTTCCATAGCCCTCATCGTGATCCATGAAGGCACTATAGACTCTCAAACAAAACAGACATTCCTCAAAATAATCCCCAGGCACCAGCCCAACACCCACCAATCCCTACATCTACCCCCGAGAAGTCAAAGCATCACGAAACTCCACAGATAAGGCCGTCCCCACTCCCGTGTGTTACTCACTACGCGGCAGCACCAACTCGCCCCCTCTCGTCCAATCACCATACCAGCAGCGTCGAGAGGTCAAAAGCATCACGAAAATCCACATATAAGGCTAACGCGTTGCTTGGGACGCGTCGCCAGGGATCTGAGACACCACCCACCCAATCACAGTGCCTGGCCTGTCGAGATGTCGAAGTATCACGAAAATCCACTTGTAGGGCTGTCTCCGCTGGCAGTGTTACTTGGGACGTGTTAGCGCGACGAGGGCCAATCGCAGTGTCTGGTCTGTCGAGATGTCAACTGATCACAGAAATCCACTTATAGGGCTGGACGTGTTGGACGTGTTGCTTGGGACGCGAGGGGATTTTCGGTGCCATGTGGGATGCGTTCATGCTGGGGATTGGATCTTATCTGATGGACAAGGGAGTGTCTTGGATGGTCCCGATAAGGAGGGTTTGCTGTGCGGACTCGATGGTAGGTGGCTGGTTTTAGGTGCTAGGAGGGGAGTTGGTGTGACACATACAGGTTGCAATCCTAAATATCTTACAGTGGACTTGACTCTCTTCTAGAACAAGCTTATGACTGCCGTGTCGAGGGATCCCGTTCAGAACAAGCTCGACATTCTCAACGAGTCATCACACACATACAAACATAGTAACACACCGACCAGACAAACGGCAACACACAACCTCCAAGACCAAGACGGCACCTCCTCCTCCCCAAACGCTGGCCCATCTTGCGCGACCGACCGAGACACCTGATCCCCACCACAGGGCCCTTTCTCCAAGCCTTGAATTTCGCCAGCAACCCCCACAAGAAGCGCCTTGACACAACAAGCCGCAGAGAGCGCCGCATATGGCTGCCACCGCTTCTCTTTGTGGCTATCGGCATAGTCACACACCCCTTTCACCACCACAACGGAAGAAGGGAGATACAACTCCACCCCGGCGCCTTCCATCTCGAACCCAATAACCGCCTGCTCCGCCGCAAACCGGTCTCTATCCTCGCCGGACCGCATCACCAAGTCGGTGCATCCGACATCCCCGCAGAATATACGCGGGCGGGGTACTGTGCCAGAAGGAATCACATCCGAACGCCATCGGATCTTCGATTCTCCCCCCCAGCGCTCGCAATCCAGATCCTCACAGGAAAGGTGGACCGTATCGATACAGCCCGGACCATCAGTGCGACTGGACCTGCTGCACAGATCGCACGGCATCGAGTCCGGATGCCGGTGCCGGTAGCGCGCCGGGAAGAGCCGGTCGCGGTCTGCTCCAGGGTAGTGGTATTTCGGTTCGCCGGACGAGCGCTGCGCGGCTTGCAGGTAGCGGGCGAGGGTTTGCTGCACCGGTGGAAGGTCGCGCGCGGGGTTGAGGGTCTGAGGAGAGAAGTCGTTAGGGCCTAGCGAACGCTTTGCTTCTTGGTCGAGAAAACCTGTATCCATGAACTTGGGGAAGGGTCTTCGAACCAGTTCGTCTGACACCGCGTCCGCTTGACGCGGAACGCCTTCGCTGATCAGAACATCTCCCAGGAAGACATCGGTTCCATCTGGCAGTCGCGGGATGGCGCCACAGATACCGACCACGAGGGCCAGGCGGACCTTGGGGAACTGCCGTCTCAGATAGCCCGAGCCGATCGTGGCATTCAGGGTCCCTAGACCGGGCAATTGGACCAGAACAACGGGCTGCGGGCCTATGCGTCCCAGGGTATAGAAATTGGGGTCGTCGGGTGGTTTGGCACATAGATTTTCATCGTTAGGGGCCTCGTACGTCTCGTCCAGAACAATTCGTACGGCATCTGCTTCGACGGGTAGGGCGCAGATGATGGCAATCTGGAACTGGTCGCGGGTTGGAAGATGATATACAGGGGGCATGACTTCGAAAGCAGAGATGCCGTCGCTCTGAAAAATTGGCTAGCAGAGCCAGGCATGGCAGCTACAACATATCGGTTCTCTTACCCATATTCTTTACGTTGCCTAGGAGAAGGGATTGGGAACTTAAGCGCCGAGGCTACGCCTGACTATCATCATAAAGCTGTTGGTTTGCTTAGCGCTGAGGTGAGAGGGTGGCTTATAGGGGCGCTTGCGGCTTCTTTGCCCTCCAATAGATCGACGAAACCTTTTGAACTTTGTGCAAACCCGCAGGACTTGGGAAACACATTTCGCGAGAAACTTCGATTCTTCTCTGATGATATCTACAGTGAGAACCCGGCGTCTATCACAATATTCTGCCCTGTGATCGAGGAACTCATCACCAAGAAGCGGACTTGATCTGCCACATCCTGTGATGGAGTTAGTGACCCCTCTATCTCTAAGGACTCCGACACAAACCTCCGGGGTAGCGAATCGCTTAAGCGCGTTCTTCTCCTGAACCGACCGAAGCTTCTCCTCCGAAAACTGACGGCCCCAATCCTGACACTTTCAGCCAACATTCCCATATCTTGAGGGAAAAAAGGTCTTACCGTCAAAAGCACCCCCGGCGCGACAGAATTCACGCGAATGCTCGGTGCCGCAATCACCGCCAGACTGCGCACGAGATGAATCAACGCCGCCTTGGTCACGGCATAAGGCTGACGAAAATCAGCATCCGTCCTTAACCCTCAACCCGCGTTCATCAAAGGTAGAAAGGCAGACGTACCAAACTACTCCCACTGGGCTTCACCCCGGCCACCGACGCGGTCGCGACAAAGCAACCCCCCACGGCATCCAGATACGGGCGCGCCGCATGAAACAGCCAAAAATGGCTCTTCACATTGACCTGGAAGCATCGATCCCAGTCCGTCTCCTGATCCGCCGCATCCAGATCCATGAAGTCCGTCATCCGGGTCCAGCCCGCGTTCGAGACGACGACGTCCAGCCGCCCGAAGGCGCGCACCGTCTCCGCCACCACGCGCGTGATCTCCTCCCGACGCGCCATGTCGCCCTGCAGCGCGATGAAGCTCGGCGCAGCGGAGTCCTGTGGTAATGGCGAGAGGGTTGTGAGCTCCGCGACCAGCGCATTTGCGGCCGTGTGGTCGGAGTGGAAGTTGATCGCCACGCGGAGGTGGGCATCGCGGGCGAGGGCGCGCGCGACCGCGGCCCCGACGCCGCGGGATCCGGCGGTTATGAGGGCTACTTTTGGGGTGGTCATTGGAGCTATCAGAAGATTAAAGTGATGGATTCGGGTGGGATTGGAGGAGGGGGTTGTGGTTGGGTTTTGAACGGGGGGGAACTATCCGAAAAAGGGGGGCTGGTCTTTTCGGCTCCACATCGGAAGTGATTTAAGGTATGTACTGCGCATCCCCTCAACTTAAGTTTGTCCACTTCAATTCCGGCTACAAATATGCAGTATTCGGACAGAAGGCCGACTTCATTGTTTGTTTGAGTAGATTTCGGGATGATAGGATACTTCGGACTTTGTTCCGAAGCCGTTGAGGGCCGCGGGTGGTGGCGAGGGGTATAAAGATGTGGTATCCAGCACAACAGTGTTACTGAAATTGGCTTTCAAGCAGAGCACACTCCTCAAAAGCAGACTATATCATGGGTTATACATATCTCAAAGAACGGGCGCCGCAGAGCACAAAGTCGACAGCTCCGTCCGTTGACGTCTCGGCCATCGTCAAGGGGGTGATCGACGACATCCGAGAGAACGGCGACGCGGCTGTCCGCAAGTACTCGGAGAAGTTCGACAAATGGTCGCCTACGTCTTATCGATTGTCCTCGCAGGATATCCAGGCGATCATGGCGGACGTCCCGGAGCAGACCATTGCAGACATCAAGGAGGTGCAGGCCAATGTGCGGCGGTTCGCCGAGGCGCAGCGCAAGTCGATCCAGGATTTTGAGATCGAGACGCAGCCGGTACTACCTCTCCGTTGCTCATTGAGTTGTGTATGCTAATCGTGTACTGTACAGGGAGTGTTTCTAGGCCAGAAGAACATCCCCATCCAGACCGTTGGCGCGTAAGTCTCCTGGCGTGTGCGACATAACCACATCGCTCTAACATGCTGGCATCGACTGCAGATACATCCCCGGCGGCCGATATCCCCTGCTTGCATCCGCACACATGACAATCCTGACGGCCAAGGTGGCCGGAGTCAAGCGAGTGATCGGCTGCACGCCCCCGATCAACGGCAAGATCCCAAGCAGCACGGTGGCAGCCATGCACCTCGCCGGCGCCGACGAGATCTACATCCTGGGCGGGGTGCAAGCGGTGGCCGCCATGGCCATCGGCACCGAGACCATCCCCAAGGTGGACTTCCTCGCGGGGCCGGGCAACGCCTTCGTCGCTGAGGCCAAGCGCCAGCTGTTCGGCGAGATCGGCATCGACCTCTTCGCGGGGCCGACGGAGATCCTGATCGTGACCGACGAGACGGCGGACCCGTTCACCGTGGCGACCGACATCCTGTCGCAGGCGGAACACGGGCCCGACTCGCCGTGCGTGATCCTGACCACCTCCGAGAAAGTGGCCCGGACGGCGATCGCCTACATCACCCAGATCCTGAAAGAGCTCCCCACGGCGGCGCTGGCGGGCGTCTCGTGGGAGCACTGGGGCGAGGCGATCGTGGCGGATACGATGGACGAGGCCTGGCAGATGGCGGATGAGATCGCCAGTGAGCACGTGCAGATCTTCACGAGGAATCCGCGCGATGCGCTGGAGAAGATGACGGCGTATGGCGCGCTGTTCTTGGGCGAGCGGACCTGCGTGTCGTATGGTGATAAGGTGAGTGCTCGAGGTCTGCGTTGAGGACGTCGCAGGGATGACGGGAGACTAAATTATGGCTCTTAGTGTATCGGAACCAACCACGTACTCCCTACGAGAAAGGCGGCTCGCTACACTGGAGGTCTCTGGGTTGGGAAGTTCTTGCGGACCATTACCTACCAGGAGGTCACGTCGGATGAAGCCAGTGGACAGCTTGGTAAACTCTGTGGTCGCGCAGCAAGGGCGGAGTTTTTCGAGGGACACGCCCGGTCCGGGGACCTACGAGCTCATCTGCATCTGAAAGAAGAGTTCAAGTGGATTGAGCAGGGGCATGAGGGCGTGTCTGATGGAACAGGAGAGGGTTGTCGGGACTGTGCAGTGTAGTCATTCTGGGGTTAAGGCAAGCTGCATCCGCGTTTGAGATGAAATGGTCATGAGACACCAGAGCAAACCTCGCACTCGTTATCAGTGATAGACGCGTACTGTCAACAAGAATCGTTGCCTTGATCCTAGTCAGCTCCACCATAAACCGCTTGCAAGTTGACGTCTCGCCTGATAAGCCTATCTCCATCCCGCAGGAGCAATGGCAACGGCAACATGTACCTACCGAACAGTAGATCGGATTGGCTTTTCTGTGCAAAGGCCAGAGAGCATCTGACTCAGCGGCCTGAATCTGAGTCAGCGGCATGTGGATTGAGTCCAGTCTCCCAATCGGATAGCGCATTTCACGGCCTTGAAGCTATACGATGCAGCACGCTAGACTGGTTTCGACCATCTCAGCGCCAAGCATTGGCCAAGACGCAGATTGCGTGGGCTTGGCTGAGAATCAAGGGATGATCCTGGCTTAAATTGCACTTCATCGCCACAGAGATTAAAGTGCCTGTTCATGGACTGCGCGTCCCAAGGGAAGGGAATTCCTGGTGGTTGACGTGGGAGCCGATTGTGAAAAAGGCAGGGATCGACTGCATCTTATCTCAATCTTTCACGCTAAACTGTGTCGGCTGTAGCCGGGTTCCAGGTCAGATCTTGGATTGAGCTAATGACTGATGGATTCACCTCCTGTCCAATTTTAGCCAGCCATGTATGAGGCTTAGATGCATACGATCTTCGTGAGGACTGTGTCCTTCAAGACCATGCCAAAAGTATCATTGATACTGTCCAGTCAGCAGTTCATCTCCCTTCGGAAGTCCATGGCCCTAGTTCCTAATTCTCCATTGCTCACGCCTGCGGTGAAGGTTCTCGAAATCGTTATCCAAACCGAACTAATATCGATCTCTAACCGCCGTCGCAAAGCCCTATGGGGATGTGTTCGCATTAGCGCCTTTTCCTTGCTGTCAGGGTCGAGTTTCTTCAGCGGCGTTCTGGCCTGTCGGCTCGGGACGCGCGTCTTTCGCTACCAGCCCTAGCGCCAAGACCTGTCCGCCGCGTCCCATGCGGAGACTTTGACCAACTCGGACAAAGTCCAACTGTCAATAGATTGAGGTCTTCGTATAGAATAATCCGATGTGAGTATGTGCATCGAGACTAGTCAAAGCGATCATCTTGAGTATATGTGGTGGTTGAGACTCATACCGGTGTGCAGAGATCTTCCAGCAGATCGGTCGGCCACTCGGGAATACTCCGGCACAAGTGCTGTCACTAGAGCTGCTATACATCTCTAGCTACAGTGAGGAACCGACCTCGTTCGCATTCCATAGAATCACTTTAGTATAGTCTCGGAGGTGACGAGTCGATTGACCTCCGTCTCCCGATGGTACCGACGACTGCGGGCCCTGTCCACGCGGGACTTTGATCAGTGGACCTCATCACTCACCCACAGACGATGCCGAATATAGGCACTGTACCTTGAGAATCATGATTCACTCCCCACAGGGCGCTGTCAAGTGTTCCCGTCACAGACACGAAAGTATGTGTATCGGTGGGATACGAAGGACCTCGAGGGAGGACTGTATAAAGACCAGCCAGGAGCCAGAACCGCTGGCATTCTTCTCCCCGCAGACCACTCTCCCCTCGTTTTCTTTCTTAGCCTTTCTCTTCTTCTCTTCTTCACATTCAATCATTGACTGTCACTCGTTGAATCTATCTTTTCAAGCTTACTTCAAAATGAAGTATTCACTTCTCACCACCGCACTGGCTCTGGCAGCCAGTGCCACCGCCGCCGCCGTCCCCGCGTCGGCGCAGAAGCGCGAGTCCACGA